ATAATAATAATAATAATCCAATAATAACAGGATCACATAAAGTACTTGGCAGGTCCCAAACAGGGTCCCACCTCAAGGTCAACAGGCTCTGAGAGTTGGAGCCTCAAATCTGCAAAGGTGGCCCCTAGATCATCTGCAGCAGCTGCACCCGGAAAATGCAGGGCCTCGCACTCATCTTTGCCCCAAGTATCTAGCTCAGCCCATGGCTGTTCTGTGTGTGTACCGTCAAATTCGATCTGACTGGTACAGGAGGAGATTTTCCCTCCTCTAGCAGAGCATCTGGTGGATTCAAACCGCTCACCTCTGGGATTGCAGTGCAGCTTCTTGCCACTAGGCCATCAGAGCTCGCCAGCCCACAGCTGTTCTAGCAAGTGCTTCTGGTGAGTCCTCCCCTGCTTATTCTTTAAGGTGAAGAGGAGCTCCCCCAAACTCCCCCCCAAAAGTAAGGATCACCTGGCGTTTGCTAATGCCTTCTTCCCAAAATTGAGTGAGGGTCCCAGGGCTGGTCTTTTAATGTGTCCTCCTGGGTCATTTAACAGTTGCCCTGGGCCAGCAACCAAAACAAGGCCAGGGCTCCACGCTACAGTTGTGGTTGAAGTCTGTAATCTTCGTCACTAAGTGCTTCCAGTCTTTGTCACTTTGCAAGTTGAGGCTGTGTCGCCTGCATGATGTAGGTTGCTGAAGAGTCTTCCACCAATCCTGAGGCCACGTTCTTCTTCTTATAGAGTCCAGCTTCTCGAATGATTTCCTCAGCGTGTAAACTGAGTAAGTGTGGGGAAAGGCTACAACTTCAACGCATACCCTGCCTGATTCCGCTGTGTTCAAACTTCTCGGCTCATGGACAGATTCCACGGGAGTACAGTGAGAGGTTCTGGGATTCCCGTTCTTCTCAATGTTATTTATAATTATGTTTCTCACAGTCAAATGCCTTTGCATATCCGGTAAAACACAAGCGATTAGAGTCTTTTCTGCTTTGAGCCAAGACCAGCAAGGATTTCTTTCCCTCATTTCTCAGCCTCTTCTGAAACCGGCTTGACCTTCTGGCCTTTCCACGCATGGAAACACTGCTTCAGCTCCTTCCGAATAATCTTCAGCCAGATTTTATGTGTGTGCAACGTCATTGATAACTGTCTGAGAACGTCCACATTCTGCTGGGTCTCTGATGGTGCAATGGATAGGGAATTCGGCTGCTAACCAAAAGGCCACCAGTTTGAAGCCAATGGCTTAGAGGGAGATGGATGTAGCTGTCTGCCTCCATCCGGTAGGATTATTCTGAGTCAGAACTGACCAGGGCAACTGGATTTGTGTTTTGGGTTTTTTTTTCTTTCTCTTAATCCTGGGCAGGAAGATTCATTCTGTCCTTGAGTCTTAAATGATAAAGTCAGTTCTCTACCAGTGGCAGGGGAAGGGGGCTGGATAGTTCCCACACAGAAGGCAATCCAAAAATCATTTTTCGTTGACATCACAACACACTGAGGAATTATGTTCAGATTTCCCCTCGCTCTGGTTAATGTGGATTGACGTAAAACGCACGGCAGCAGCTGTGGCTGAAAAGGGCTCAGAGGTTTTCAGCGCGGAGGCCAGGCAGGGATTTCAATGACCCAGAAAGAGAACGAGTCAGGCCGGCTCAGTGACTGCCGGCCCAGCTGCGTGAGGGGCTGGCAGGTGCAATGCTCTGGACGGAGGAAGGCAGGGCTGGGGAGGGCAGGCTTTCTCGACCTTTGACACTTGGACCATTCTGCGTGGCAGGAGCTGCGCTGGGCCTTGTAGCACGCCTGGCCTGTACCTGCTGGGGGCCAGGAGCACCCCAGCCCTAGCTGTGAGAACAAAAAAAACATCTCCAGGCACTGCCTACTGTGCCCTGCAGAGCAAAATCACTCCTGCCCTCCTTGTCTTCTAAGGACTGGACCCCTTCTGACCACACACCTAAAATATGTGAGACAAAGTTTTACCATCTTTGCCTCGAAGGAAAACCCGGGTTGCACTTTCTCCAAGATATAATTGTTTGTTCTTTTGGCTGCCCATGAGACAGTCAAGAGCTCTTCTCCAACACCACACCTCAAAGGCATCAATTCTATCCTCCTTATTCACTGTCCACTATCAAATACACAGCAAGCCACTGAAAAGACCAGGGCTCTGCTCAGGCGCACCTTGGTTTTTAAACTGACATCATTGCTCTTTAGCACGTTGGAGACATTAAAGGGTTTGTGCAATTATTATTATCATCATCGCTATTCTATGGAGATTGGGCGGTAGAGTGTATAGGGGCTGGCTAATCCAAAGGCTTCATGGTTCAAATCCACCAGCAGCTTAGAGACAGAAAGACTGGCAGTCTTCTCCCGTTTTGATTTACAGCCCCAGAAGCCCAATAGGGGTCAATTTATTCTGAGTTGGAATCGATTAGATGGCAGGGAGTGAGGTATTCCACAGAGAGGTAAAATACTTGTCTGGCAACACAGAATAAGGATAAGTGGGGATTTGAACCCAGGCATTTGGCACTGGAGCCTGATCTTCCATGTTCTACTACTTCTGTTTATAGTTCATTAGTGAATCAGCTAGCAGGAGCCCAGTGGTTAAGTGTTTGGCTGTTATTGGAAAGGTTGGTGGTTGGGACCCACTAACTGCTCCTCTGACAGAAGATGTGGCAGTCTGTCCCCGTAGAGTCCCACAGCTTTGAGGCCCCTCTGGGACTGTTCTGCTCTGTCCCCCAGGGTCACTTGTGGGTCAGAATCAACTCAGTGGCAGTGGGTCCGGCTGGCTGGCATCTGCTAGGATTCCTGCGATCCTCAGAGCTTTCTCTCTTGGGTGAAACCACATGAGGGTCTGTCTTTCCTTCTCACCTTGCCCACCCTCCCATCCCCTCCGGGCTCTGGTCCTCATGTTGGTGTTTGGCTGCAGGTAGTGGAATGGGCCAGGAGACCCAGTTCCAGCGACGTGAGAGCCAGTGGACTCAGTAAGGTCTGCACTGGCCAGGAGCTTTCAGGCAGCCCAGTAGCCTGTGCAGCGTCCAGGCCCGATCACCTTTACCCAGCACCTCAGCAGCTTAGTCCGTGCTGTACCGCATGGCTAACCATCTCCAAAGGTTCAAATCCATCAGCAGCTCTGAGGGATAAAAATGAGCAGTCTCCTCGCATTCAGATTTGAGGCCACAGAAACCCAATAAATAACGGGTCGCTGGGAGTCAAAGTTAACTGAATGACAGTGAGCCTGAGGGTTATTTTGAGATCAGGTAAATCTTTTCCAAGTCAGAATAAGCTTCTTTTGAGACTCTGCAATGTCTTCAAGGGTCTCAGAAAGGGAATGAGCATCAGGGAAGATGGTGTGCTGGATTCCCTGGGCCGGCTTGGGTGTCTGGCTCCAAGCTGTGTCACCCTGCTTGTTATAGCTGTAATGTTAGGATGTTGGTTAAGGTGACCAGCTGACACCACGTGACTTGTTGTTGTTGTTGCTGTTGTTATTGTACCACTGAGGCAGAACCATCCCATAGCTGACCATCCAGTGGGTTTTCAGAGGCGGTTAATATCAAAGGAGTTTACTGCCCAGCTTTCTCCTGAAGAGCACCTGGTGGATTTGAACCATGTACCTTGGGGTTGGCAGCACAGCTCCTCATGGGACTTAAGGATTGGTTATCATGACAAAGGAGTTCCTGGGTTGTGTAAATGGTTGAATATTCTCTACTAACCGACAAGCTGGCAGGAAGAACCCACCCCACAGGTGCGCCGGAAGAAATGCCTGGTGTTCTGCTCCTGGCCATCAGAACCCAGCAGAGTAGCGTTTGGGTCACCAGGAATCAGAACCAGTTCAACATCAACTGCTTTGTGTGACATTCGGTGCTGCTGAGACCCCCGCCCCCCCAGAAAAACTATTGTCATCGAGTTGATCCCAGTCCATACAGCGACCCTCTAGGATGGAGCAGGACTGCCCACGGGGTCCCAAGGCTGTCAATCTTGAGGCAGACTGTCAGCTAGCCACATCCTTCTACGATCAAGTGGAGGGTGGGCTTGAACTGCTGACCATATGGCCAGCAGTTGCGTCTTTAACCACCACACGACCGGAGTTCCTCATCTGAAGACGAACTGTTTTCTCTGCAGCACAAGCACAAAGCTCTCAGTTCTGCTCCGTAGCGTCTTCAGCAGGGACTTATCACCCATCTCAGGCGTCAGAATTACTCTACAGCGAACCCTCTCCCCCCATGCCACCTCGCCGGAGCGGATTTGCCGGGCCGGCAGATTCTATCTGGCATTATCCCCCCGGCCAGGGCAGAGCAGCGCGTCTGCCTGGACATGCAGGTTACCGTGGGCGGCGGGGAGGCTCGACCGATGAGCGGCACGTTCTCGTAGCGCGGGTTCCCACCGAACAGCGCGGCTTGGTTCCTGGGGGGTGGGGGTGAGAGAGGAGGTCGGAAGGTGGGAGCATTGGGGGGGCATGCCCCACCACACCCCTGGGGTCTCAGTGCTGCGTGTGCTGGAGTGAGAGGGCCAGGGGACCATGAGATACGGGGAGACACTTGGAGGGGCAACAGGTGTGGGGAGCAGCTGACGGGACCCGTCTTTCACAGACATGTGGGCAAGCGGGGGGGTGCTCTCCCCTGACCCCACTGAAGGAGCTCTGGTGGCACTGCACTTAAGCATTCAGCTGTTAGCCTAAAGACCAGTGGTTCGAATCCACTAGCTGCTCCCCAAGAGAAAGACAAGACAGTCTGCTTTATCGCTTGAAATGCTTTAGGAAGTTCCACTCTGTCCTACAGGGTTGGTACAGAATCAGCTCAACAGCAGTGGGTGTGAGTTGTGTGGGACCCTCTTGGAGGGCACCCCAAAACTGTTTGGGGGGGCACCCTGGATGGCTTCCTCCCACACTTGGCTTAGAGATATATTGGCAGGGACATTTCTAGCTCCCGCCTGGCGGGCCTGGCTGGGCTGTGTGCCCCTCGTCCCCCGTCGTACATGTACTCGGAGACCGGGGCGTTGGAGATGGTCTGGGCGGGGGGGTGCAGGCTGGTCTGGCTGCCCAGGCCGCTGCTGTAGCTGCAGAAGCTGTGAAGGGGGCCCCGGGGAGGGTTGTGGGCGGCGATGCGCCGGGCCTGCGGGTTGAAGGGGTCATCGTCATCGATGTCATCATAGTCCCGGTTCCTGGAACGACAGGTGGAATGCGGGCGGCCGTGAGAAGGGGCGCACGGCCTGGCGTATAATCCACCGCCGCTTTGCAGGAGGAAGACAGGCAGTCAAGCTTCGATGATCCGAGGGAGGACCATGGTGGGGCCTGAACAGACTCAGTGGCAGCGGTGAGGTGAGGGTTCCAGGGTCCCACCTGTCCCGGGCTTCTCTCCCAGTTCTGTCTCCGTAGGAAAGGAGTTCCTCCTCCTCCTGGAAGCCCGCCACCCTGACTACACCCTGACCCTGCTTCCTTGGGTCGGATGAGCTCCTGAGGTGCTGAACCAGCACCCCTCTGTCTGTCTCTGGCACGAGACTGTAGGTTCCTAACTACAGCGGATCCTGGCTGTGCTACGGGCAGCCTCTCCCGGCCTGGAAACTCCCCTTTCCCCACATCCACCACAAATCCTGTCCAGGGGTGAGGTCATGCTGCATCATGCAGCTGTCACCTTCCTCAACTCCCGGTCATCCCCGTGGGGAGTCTGTCTAGACATTCAGGGGGGGTCTCCAGCCTCTGGGGGCTGAGCATCCGGGCCGGGCCACTCACGGCCTCCTCAGGATGTCCGCTCTGGCCAGGTCACAGCGCAGAGCCCCCACCTGCTCCCCGGAGGGCCCCTCCTCACCTGGTGGTAAAGTGCTTCCAGGCCTGGGGCCCCGTGCAGATCATGGTGGAGAAGGCCAGGGCGGCCAGGAGCGAGAAGAGGCCCAGGTAGAGCAGGCCCTCGATGCCGTCGTAGCAGATGCCCGTGAGCGCGTCCAGGTAGTCCTGAGGATGAGGAGGAACAGGTGCTGAACAGAAGGGCAGGGGCAGCACTGCGCTCTGAGCTCTTCTCTGAACCCCTCTGCTGGGCTTGGTGCCACCTGGCTGCTCCCCATCCTGCGCGTGACAGCCACACCCTGACACCCGGCACCAGAGCCTCTGGGCCACGCTACGTTCACTGAGCACTGACTGCGTGCCGAGGCTGGAGGCTCAGGACCTGAGGAGGCTGGCCCGGCTGCGAGGCAGGAGCCAGAGGAAATCTGTCTGAGGGGGCACTGAAGGCGAGGCCAGGAGGGCAAGGAGCAAGCCTGGAGGAGAAGCTGCCAAGGAGGCAAATTCAGTACGTCCTGGAAGAATAAGAATGCACTTCATCTACAACCAGGAGAAGATAAAATAGATGAATGGGACCTTCTAAGAATCCCTATGCACATCCCAAAACTTCTCCAACAGGGTCAAAAGGGAAGCCACAGACTGGGAAAAAGTATTTGGGAATGACATGTCAGATAAGGAACTTATATCTAGAATTTACAAAATACTTGAGCACCACAACAAGATAAGGGTAAATAAGCCAATTGAAAAATGGGCACAGGATATGAATAGACACTTCACCAAAGAAGACATTCAGATGGCCAACAAGCACATGAAGAAATATTCAAAATCCCTAGCTCTAAGAGAGATGCAAATCAAAACAAGTATGAGATATCATTTCACCCCAGTCAAAATAGCAAAATTTAACAGAACAGCAAGCAACAAATGCTGGCGAGGTTGTGGAGAACCTGGAACCCTGATTCACTGTTGGTGGGAGTGTAAAATGGTGCAACCACTGTGGAAGGCAGTATGGCGCTTTCTCAAAAAGTTGCAAATAGAGATACCATTTGACCCAGCAATTCCACAACTGGGAATATACCCCAAAGAGACCATAACCGACATCCAAGCAGATATATGCACACCCATGTTTATCACGGCTTTGTTCACAATAGCAGCGAGTTGGAAACAACCCAGGTGCCCATCAACAAACGAATGGCTAGAGAAGCTGTGGTATATTCACACAACGGAATACTACGCTGCATTGAAAAACAAGGATCTCATGCAATATTATTCAAAATGGGTGACCCAGGAAGACAGTATGCTGAGTGAAATATCTCAATCACAAAAGGACAAACACTGCATGGTGCCACTGATGTAAAATGGGACTGATATCAGGGTGGCGGTAAGACTGAGAAACACTGGATAAATTGTATATACTACATTGAAACAGATGAGGGAGAGAATAATTTAGAAGTGATATATGATAGGGTATTATGGTTATCACAAGAGTACAGAATTAAGGTTGCATAGTGGAGTGTACTTGGGGCAGTGGGATTGTATACCAAAGAAAGAATTTTTCTTTTACTTTTCAAAGAGAGGAGCAAACTGGGGGGAGGGATGGGCAGGGAGAAAAGTGCAACAATGAATGAAAGGAAATCCAAAATCTCTGTAAATGTTCATTAAAATTATTAAAATGAAAAAAATGGACTTCAGCTACCAGAGGGACTTCAGGGGGGACACCGAGAGTGTGGGCCTTGTCACAGGTGCCAGGAGACACAGGAAGTCTTGAGGGTGGCAGCACCGTGAGCTGATGCTGGTCACATTCCCTCTAGCTACTGGGTGTGGGGCTGGGGGAGCAGGATGGAGGACGGCGTGGGGAGAAAGGTGGGCAGATGCAGGATGCTGTGAACGTGGGGTGTAGACCTCGCTTCAGGATTGGACAGACAGGATGTGGAGCGGAAGAGACACGAGGGTAACTCGCATGTTCATAGCTCCAAGTCAGAGTCCAACACTCAGCTCCATGACTGTCCGTGTTGACTTCTTCTGTGTCCTACTTGATAGATATTTTCATGCATATGTATACTTTCCCCCTCGTGTAAAACTACCCTTCAAAGAGCATCTACTTCACAGTGTAGCTATGAGACCAAATGACACATTGATTCTAAGGCATATAGAACGTCAGTGTAAAAACTAAGGTGCGCCTGGCTCAAGTCGGGCTATTTTCAAGTGCTTCCTGTGCATGTGAAGGTACACAGTTCAAATCCTCCACGTGCTCCAAGGGAAAAGGATGAGGAAGCTCGTGTGCCATTTACAGCCACTGAGAACCTGTGGGAGGGTCACCTCTGGGTCGGTTCTGACTCGATGGCACACAACGACAACATGCATGTGAAAGACCAAAGAAGAACGGATGTTTTTGAAAGGCAGTGTGGGTGAAGGGTACTGAGTATCTGTGCACCGTCACAAACCACGGTGTTCCTTGGAGAGCAGGACGGTGAGACTGTCCCACATACTCAGACCATGTCGTCAGGAGGGGTCACTACCTGGAGGAGGACATCCAGATAGTCAGCGACAAGGAGGAAGCCCCTCAATGAGATTAACTGACACAGTGATGACAAAGTGGACTCGAGGACTGTGTGGACGGCACAGGGTCGGGCAGGGTGCCCACCTGATGTAGATTATCTGAGAAAAATACCACCTGGTAAGTGGCAGCACAATCATTATGAATTGTTCTAACCCACATAGCACTGGTCTGTGTATTGCTGTACAGAGATAACTCATGGTCACTGTGAAGCTGAACACTGTGACACTGATGTGCCAAATGTGATAATGATTCTTCTTGGTGGACAGTGTTTGGTGGCACTCCCTGATTAGAACAAGCTTGGAAGCAGGAGTGGCATCCACTTCCACAATAGCTTGCCTCCGGAAACTCTATGAACCTGGAGAAACGATGAAATTTATACAAGTGTTCAGGTCTTTCCTTCATAGGGTTGCTATAAGTCATCTACAACTTGATGGCACTTAACAACAACAACAAACCCTCTGGGGAGGTGAAAGCTGTCAACTTCGGGGTAGGGGACAGGGTGAGGCCGCACCAGAGGATCTGTCTGAAGTTCCTGGACAGCTGACCTTGGAGTCTAGGAAAAGATCAGGTCAGGGCCTCCCACACACAAAGCTCCCTGCCGGGGAGGAGGATCTAGAAGCTAGGTGTGCTCTTTCCACTTGAGCGCCGTCTTGTTCGAGACCTCCGAACCACAAGGGCCGAGTGGAGGAAGAAGTGAATGTGTAGGCTGAAGCGTAAAAGAAGAAAGAAGAGGCAGAGGTCCAAGTAACCGTGAGTGTGTGCAGACGCCACGGCGGCCGGAGCAGGGAACGCCACAGGCTGGGAACGCTGAGACGAATCGGACTGCAGGCTCCTGTCTAGAACTTCTGACTCAAGGGATCTAGAATGTCCATCGCTATGTGATCACCACGAACACCTCTGAGAGGCCCACATTCCTCCTTCGAAACCAGGCCCTTTGGATCTGCTGCCCTGGACCTATGATATTCTGGACTAACTCTGCTTAGTTGTGGGTGGATGTCATGCGCACAATAAATCATCTCTTCTGCTGTTTTAGGTGAAGAATTAAAAAAAAAAAAAGAAGAAGCAGCTAGGTTCCCCTTCCACCTCCCCACCATCCAGCCCCCAGTCCAGCCCTCGGCCTCTACTGGCAGCTCTCTGGGAAATGATCTCTTGTGTGCCCCAGGCCCCCACATGCCCAGGGCTCCCCGAACCTTGTGCAGCCCTCGGCAGTCCAGGAGGGCTGTAAGCTGGTGGAGGCTGGCCTCGGAGTTGTTCAGCAGGAGCTGGATCTGGAGCAGGTCTTTCTGCAGCGGGGACAGACAGACAGACATGCACACAGGACGCCTGGTGGGAGGAGGTGGGCTGGCAGCGAACACCGCCCCCAGGGCAGCGCAGGCCACCTGGGGAGGAACGCAGCAGCAAGGCCTGGCTCTGGGAAGCGGCCCGGGCCTGGGCTGGCCTTACCTCTGACGTGGGGAAGAGGGGCACCGCAAACTGCAGCAGCCGGGAGGTCTGCATCTGCATGGTGGTCAGCAAGCGTTGGAAGATGGTCAGCGTCTGGGGTGGAGGGTAGAGGAGTTGCAGTGAGCCCGGGGCTGCGGGACACCGGCCCTGCAGCCCCACTGGCTCGGCCCTTCCCACGTGTGCTCAGTTCTCCCTCATCCTTCCGGGTTCTTGGGCGCTCCAGGCCACTGGCTCCCTGCTCCCCAGTGTGAGGTCCTACGATTGTGGCATCGGCCTCACCTGAAAGCTTGTCAAATGCAGAATCCTGGACCCCCTTCTAGACCTACTGAGGGCTTAAATCCATTCTCCCCAGTTTAGTGACTGATGAAGTGACAGTGGAGGGGACCCAAATTTGTGGGTGAACCAGGATGATAACTTGAGATGGGGGGAAAATGCGGATTGAGGCCCTGCTACAAACTCAATCACCCTTTTAAAAACAGCGCAACATTTATGCAGCATAGCAACCAAATCTCCTGTCCAGCTGAGTTAGAAACAACGTGGCCCGGCTCAAACATGGTGGGTGACTGAACCACTCTGAACGTGTGTTAATCCAATCTCCTATGCAGCCTCCCATTCATGCCAGGGCTTTGATCTATATAATTCCCTCCACCCCGCTTTTTTAAATTATTATTATTTTGTGTGTCTGTACCATCAAATCGGATCTGACTGGTACAGGAGGAGAGTGTCCCTCCTTCTCCAGCAGAGCATCTGGTGGATTCGAACCACACGCCTCTGAGACTGCAGTGCAGTTTCTTGCCACTAGGCCACCAGAGCTCCCTAATTTTCCCCTTTTTAATCACGATTTGATTTCATCCAGATTTTAAAATTTTGTGTCTACTCTGATTTTGCATCATTGCCCGTAAATGAAGCAGACCAAAGCCCTGGACTTGTTGGCAAAGTATCGACTTTTCATCTACCTCAGGGTGAATGGAAGGAGTCCTGGTGGTTAAGTAGAAAAATGCTTGGTTGTTAACCAAGAGGTTGGCGGTTTGAATGGGGTGGAAAGATCTAATCTAGCAATCTGCTTCCGTGAAGACCGCAGCCCAGCAGCTTCTCTGGGGCACGTCTTCTCTGCCATGCAGTCACCTTGAGTTGGAGCCCCCTCAAGGGCAGGCAGGGAAGGTGCACTCAGGTTAACAAAACATGAATCTAGAACATAGTAGCTCAGGTTACTGCGCTCTTCAGAGAAGCAGCCAGACGGAGGGCCCGGTGAAGCAGGGGAAGGCCTCCAGGTTCCTCCTGACTGTTCAGTGTTGGGCTGTGGTGTAGAAAAGGTGGGAGTGGACGGGGCGGCCATGGGAGGGCCGAGGGCAGGGTGGGTACGAGGTACCTGCTGGAAGGGGCTGGTCAGGCTCTGGCTGCAGTACAGGTAGTAGCGGGTCACCTCTGTAAGGCAAAGCCGGGGCATCAGGAGGGGTTCACAAAAGACCTGGTGGGCCCAAAGGAGGTCATTTCCAGGAAATGGCACAGAGGTCCAACTGGCCTCGAATCCAAAGACAGGGAGCGGCTGGGTGACAACAGGACCAGAAGGGGTAAGCAGAGATGCAGCCTGGCTGGTCACATGGGCCTGGTGTGGGGTTCCAGGGTGACCGGGGCGGCAGAAGTCAGAGAGCTGCTCACCTGTGCTGACGTGGCCCTGCGTGACGTTCAGGAGGAAGGCGTCAGGAGCCATGCAGAAGTCGCTGGTGCCCTGAGCCAGGGAGAGACAGGGAAGGAAGAGAATTGCAGACAGCCGGGTCCCGGAAGGGCCAGGACCCTGCCCCAGCCAGGCCGTCTCTGTCAGCTCATTCCAGGGTGTGAGAGAATCCACTCAGGAGCCAGCCTCCTCAAGTTCGAGTCCCGTCTCTGCCCTTTCTTAGCTTTGCGACCTTGGTGAAGAGGCTTATTCTTCCTGCACCTCAGTTTCCTCATCTGCCGCTTGGGAGATCAGAATGCTACTGATTTTATGAATCAATTCACGTAACACGTGAAGAGACTGGGCCAGGTGGCACATAAACACCAACTCTGGTTTGTTGTTGTTGTGTACCGTCGAATCAGGTCTGACTGGCACTGGAGGAGATTGCCCCTCCTTCTCCAGCAGAGCATCTGGTGGATTTGAACCCCGCACCTTCGAGATTGTGGCGCAGCTTCTTGCCACGAGGCCACCAGAGCTCTCTATGAAAACCCCACCCAGGAAGGTGAGTGTCCCCTCCTTCACAAGCCAGCAGGCCGGGTCCCGGGGGAGCTGCAGGTAGGATTCACACGGGGAAAGCTATTCTGACTTGTGTATGAAATCGTTCAGGCTCAGGCAGGGGCAAAGGTGGGTGACCAGGGAACCTCCTCGGGGCTTCTCTCTAGAGAATAAGGGTTCTGTGGATCCACCTTGGAGACTTTGGTCCAGGTCCTGTGCATGCTCACACACTAGGATGGACAGAGCATGGCCCTGAGGACATGGGTCCCTGCAAGGTGGCTGAGGCTCTGGGACCGTCATTCCCACCATGGATCTCTGAGGACGTTCTCCCTTAACACAAGTCATCCTAGAATAATCCATTGTCCTCACAAAGAGGAGACACGGCCACAGAAGGGAAGATGGTCCTGTGACCCTGAGGCCCACTTGGAGAGATGGAAGCATTTAGACCAAAGAACACCATGCACAGGTGTCACCAGAAGCCGGTGGGAAGCAGGACATACTCCCGCTCAGAAGGAATTAACACAGCCACCACCTTGAGAAAACGAATCTCTCTGTTCTTACAAGTAACCCAGTTTCATCCACCAGATGCTCTGCTGGAGAAAGAGGGACAACCTCCTCCTGTACCAGTCAGATCCAATTTGATGGTACACACACACACACACACACACACACACTCTCTCTCTCTCTCTCTATTAAAATAAAATTTTAAAAAATAAAAATATAAGTAACCCAGTTTCTAGTACTTTTGTTAATATAACCTGAAAAAACTCATGCATCTCCCCTCAACCAACCCATCTCCCTTTCCTCTCTGTTCTGAGCGGAAATCTCAACCTTCTGGAACTTTCCAAGGGCTGTGGCTCTGTCCCACGCCCCTTTCACCTCACCCCTCCTGACCCTGCAGAGAGGGCCACCAAGCAGGTCATCGCTGGCCATACAGCTGGGGTCACAGAGGCAGGAGGCCGAGTGTCCTCAGATGGCCAGGGCCCAGCCCCCCCAGCTCCGGTCCCACTGCCTCTCTCTTTTTGAGCAGGTTCTCAGGGCTGCAGGCCCCTTCTGGGTGACACAGAAGGGTGGGGCCTTGGTGTCAACTCACAGCTCTCACACAGGCCACACAAAGGCGCTCCACAGTGGCCGCTGACAGCGCCCCTTCCCATTAAAATGCAGCAGCATCTGGCCTATCAAAGGCCCATTCAGCTCGGCTGACACTCTCCCTGGCTCACGCAGGGGCCTGAACAAACAAGCCCGGAGCCTGGCATTCCTGGCACCCTGTCGGGAGACTCAGCAGAGGCACTGGCTTCTGGAACACAGAATGCTGGTGCAGGAGAAGATCCCTGTCCCCAAGAGGGCAGATCATGGTGGCCAGCTGGAAGCTGTCGCGGTGGCCAGCAGGCAGAGGGTGGCCAGGGCCAGGGCCAGCCAGGGGAGCGGGAGCCGTGTTTGTTCCTTTGAGTTCACACTTGTCCCTGAGGAGGGGCCGTTGGAGTCACAGCTGTGTCGACAGCTGTGCCCGGAGCCCTGGCCAGCTGCGCTCCTGGCCGTCTCCTCTCCCCTGGAGTCCTCCTAGCTCCTGGGGCCGCCAGGGTACTTCTGGGCAGGCCTGGGCCTTCCTGCTGGCCTGCCCTGTACCTGGGAGTCAGCATGGCCAGGGTACTTCTGGGCAGGCCTGGGCCTTCCCGCCAGCCTGCCCTGTACCTGGGAGTCAGCATGGCCAGGGTACTTCTGGGCAAGCCTGGGCCTTCCTGCCGGCCTGCCCTGCAACTGGGGAATACCAGGGTACTTCTGGACAGGCCTGGGCCTTCCCGCCATCCTGCCTTGTACCTAAGCCTCTAGGCCTTTGGTTCCTGGCCAGGTGCATCTATGGTAAATCACACCCGGGCACTTGAGTTCTAAACGGCTAAGGGCCTCTCACAGTCAGGGAGTAGAATTGCGCTTGACATGCGAGACTGCGGGCTGTGACTGAGGCTGGGAGCTGGCCCTGCCCTGGACCCTCTGGACGGAGCACAAGCGAAGGCGGCACAAAGAACTAAGTCTGGTCTTTGTCTCTGGTTTCAGAAAGCTGCCTGGGCAATTTAGAGTGCTCTGCGTCGTTCTATGCCAGCCGGGCAGCACATAAACACATGCCAATGAGCTGGGCGGGTCCTCACCATCACCCTGACAACAAAGCCCGGACAGGGAGGGGGCAGGAGGAGGCCAACACCCCCATCCACCTGAGGCCCGACCTTCGCCCAAGCGACCTGCCACGTGGGCTTCTGACTCAGAGCCACCCCATGTGACAAGTGGAGCTGCCCCGTGTGGCTTCGTGGTGGTTCCAATGCCAGCCACCTCTCAAGGTCACCGGTTCCCACCCACCAGCCACTCCTCAGGAGACGAGGGCGTCTGCTGTCTGCGTCCTTAAACATTTACAGCCTCAGAGCCTTGGTGGGTCACTATGAGTCAATCAATCACTGGCTGTGGGTTGTTTGGGTTTTTTTTTTTTTAACTTCATGGAAGCAGACTGCCACGACTCTTTGCTGTGGAGGTGCAGGTGGGTTTGAACAGCCAACCTTTTGATTAGCAAGGGAGCAATTAAGCTTTGTATGTCTAGGGCTCTTCACGAGGGGTTTAAGATGTGTACATGGCTGGGCACAGACGGTCAGCTGTGGAACCAGGTGCAAGTAGGACTAGCTTAGGTGTGTGTCCACCTAGGAAGGACCTGGCCAGGGGAGACTGGTGAAAGCAGCCCCCAGAAGTCCCATGGCACAGCCCGGGGTGTGCATGTGAGAGCTGGGGTCTCTCCCTCTCTCAGCTTTCTCAACTTGGGGTGTTGCTTAACACAGATGCCCATCTGTTCTCGTGTCTGTCTGCTTCTTTAAAGTCGTAAAAATGACTTTCCATGAACAGATACTCTGGAAGCTTCTAGAGTGTTCCAGCCCTGATTGGAAAGACTCAAGGCTTACAGAACAGTTGATTGTATTTCCTGATTGCCACCCTTCCCTGAGTGGTACACGCATTGCCACAGGGGCACACTTTCAGACAGCCCCCCCATCCCACAGCCCGTGCCCCATGAGGGTGCACCCTCAGAAAGACCACCCCCCACAGTCTGTGTCCCATGGGGGTGCCTTCAGACAGCCCCCTCATCCTGCAGCCCACGACCCACCGGGGTGCACCTTCAGACAGACCACCCCCCATAGTCTGTGTTCATGTGGGTGCACCTTCAGACAGACCACCCCCCATCCTGCAGCCCATGCCCCATGGGGACGCACCTTCAGACAGACCACCCCCCACAGTCTGTGTCCCACAGGGGCGCCTTCAGACAGACCCCCCCATCTGCAGCCCACGACCCACAGGGGTGCACCTTCATTAAGACCACCCCCCCAGTCTGTGTCCCACGGGGGGCCTTCAGACAGAACCCCCCTGCAGCCCGTGCCCCATGGGGACACACCTTCAGACAGACCACCCCCCACAGTCTGTGTTCCACGTGGGTGCACCTTCAGACAGACCCCCCCCCATCCTGCAGCCTGTGCCCCACGAGGGTGCACCCTCAGAAAGACCACCCCTCCAGTCTGTGTCCCACAGGGACGTCTTCAGACAGCACCCGAGTCCTGCAGCCCGTGCCCCACAGGGACACACCTCTCCGCCACAGTCTGTGTCCCATGAGGGTGCACCTTCAGAAAGACCCCCCCTCCAGTCTGTGTCCCACGGGGGCGCCTTCAGACAGCCCCCCCATCCTGCAGCCCGTGCCCCACGGGGACGCACCTTCAGAGAGACACCCCCCCATCTCGCAGCCCACACCGTGAACTCACCACCGCAGCGGCCGTGTCGGCGGCCAGGGAGGCCCAGCTGAGAAGCAGGGTCAGGACCCCACAGCACAGCATCCTAGGAGAGAGGCAGGGCTGAGGGGACCCCAGGGGGGCTGGGGACAGTCAGGGACATCTATCCCCACAGCCCTCCAGTCCCCAGACTCCTGCAGGGTTGGGGTCCCTGTGCCCTCGCTCTGTTAACTGCTAGGAGGGTCACAGGGAACCCGTGGCCAGAGTGTAGGACCCTGGGTTAAAGGGACACAGCTGGAGGGGAGCAGCTGACAGAGGGAACGGTTAGAAAGGCGAGGGGCTCCCACGCTTGGTCAGCACCTCCTCAGCTGCTCCAGTCGGTGGAGGTCAGCTCGGCCCTCCCTGGCCACTCATCTCCAGATGGCACCTTGTGAGGTACCAAGATAAGGAGATGAGGTGGCTCTGGCAGTCTGGCTGTCCCCTGCCCCACCCTCTGAGCCTCGCCAGGCCCTCACCTCCCTGTCCCTCTTGAATGCTTGCCCAGGTGGCCGAGGGGGAGGCTACTCACGAGGCCAGCAGACACCTGGAGCGCTTGGCCAGCCCCAGGCAGGCAATGAGGCAGATGACCACGTCCAGCAGGAAGAGCAGGAGGTAAGAGAGCCACCTGTGAGGGCGGGGGCGGGGAGGGCTGTCAGGGGGCGCGGGGCCGAGCTGCCCACCAGAGTCTCGTGAGCAGTCCCCAGGCCACAGTGACCCTTCGTGGCAGCAGACGGCCGGAGCCAGCAGCTCAGTGAGTGGACCAGGCTCCTCCCTGCCAGGAGCTGCTCAGACCCTTGTGTGCACAGAGGAGGGTCTTCTGGGGCCCACTCGTGCCCCAGACAAAGGTGATCTACCATGTCGCTGACCGGGCCTCCTGAAAGAGAGTCCAAGCCAGCACCAGCCATGGAAGCTCACACCACAACAGACAGTGCCTAAAGCTGTGGCCCTGGAAGAATAAATCTGCAAATTTTTATTAATGTGTGTGTGTGTGTGTGTACCGTCAAATCGGATCTGACTGGTACAGGAGGAGATTGTCCCTCCTTCTCCAGCAGAGCATCTGGTGGATTCGAACCGCTCACCTCTGGGATTGCAGTGCAGCTTCTTGCCACTAGGCCACCAGAGCTTGCCTCAGGCTGTAACTTTAAGGGCACAGATTGCCAGGTCTTTCTGCCGCTGACCCACTGGTGGGCTCAGACCTCTCCTTAGCTGTGAGCCCTGACCACTGCGCCCGAGGGCTCCTTCGAAGCACCCTGAGCTCGCAGCACCACAGTCTATCGGCCCAGCGTCAGGCGTCCCCGGAGCACACGCATGGGAGGTGGCCCTCAGGGAGCCTCTGAGAACGTCTGGGGGAGACTGCCGGCTTCATCACTGGGAGAGACCACCGGGTCTTTTCTCCTTTGAAGCTGCCTGGTGGGCTCGAGCTATGGACCTTCCCATGAGCAGCTAAGGCTTCACCACTGCGTCACCAGAGTTCCCCAGCAGGGCAGGGTGGTGCCGCTCGGAACCTAACGGCATACAAGTGGTGCAAATGGTTAAGCGTTCGTTCCACTACTGGCCAACTTCGAAAACTTGAACCCACTTGAAAGGCCCTTTGGAAGACTGGCCTGCAGTCTGCTTCCGAAAGGCCAGAACGCCCAGCGTGAGTGGAACCAATGGACAGCGGCGAACAACCAACCCACTCTCGTCAGGTCAGTGCTGACTCCCAGGGATCCTGGAGGGTGGAGCGGAAGTGTCCATCTGGACAGGAGCAGGCTGCCTCACCACTCTCCTGCACAGCAGCTGGTGGATTTGAACTCCTGACCTTTTGGTTAGCAGATCAAAGCATAACCTAGAGCATCACTCAAACGCACGTGTATCACCAATGAGTCGGAGCTGACCTTCTGTTGGGTTTTGGTGGCTGTAAGTCTCATGGGACAAGACTGCCCCTCTTTCTCCTGTGGAGCTGCTGGGAGATTCGAACCACAGCTTCCGAGTTAGCAGCCCAACTCCCTGTGGACTAGCTCCCCACAGCACCACTGGGGATCGCCAACTAACAAGAACTCTACAACGGAATTCCTTCTGATGCATGTCTCATAAAAAAGAGCAGAACAGACAACACGTACGCAGGGGACAAGAGACAGTATGCGGAACGGCCTATAAGGCAAGGACGGCCCAGGACTGCCTGGGGCCACTGAATGGATGGCTTCTCCCCTACAGCCCAGGCGGTTTTGAACTCCTGATGTCAGTCTGGAGACTATGGTGCGCCTGATTCAGGCCATGGTCTCGCAATTGCTTGCTGTGCATCAGAGAGCTGGACAATGACTAAGGATGACAGAAGAAGAATTGATACCTTTGAGCTGTGGTGCTGGAGACGAGTCTAGAACATATCAATTGACTGGCAAAAACAAAAACCCAATAGGTCTGTCTGGAGAAGGTGAAACGAAAGTTTCTCCTTGGAGGCTAGGATTTTGAAGCTCCATCTCATATTATTTTGAGGATGTAGCCAGGAGGGAGGGACCAATTCTTGGAGAAGGACATCATGCTCGGAAGGGTGGAGGGGCAGCGCAGGAGAGGAAGACCCCGGATAAGATGGATTGACACAGTAACTGGGTCAATGGGGGCTGGTGTGTTGGAGTCAGGGAGACTGGCTCAGGACTGGACAGGCTTCAGAGCTGTTGCAGAGGGTCACTATGTGACTTGACATACCTAACAATAAACAACTTCCTAAACTGTAAAACAATATATTTCTTTCAAGCTGTCCTTTTGTGGTGTTTCTGTTACAGCAAGAGGAAGTAACTGAGACATCTTGTCAGGTTGGGTAGATGAGGGAAGGTCCACATTGTCTGCTGGGAAATCTAGGTAACTCACCTCTCCCCGCCTCCAACCCCATGCCTCAGTTTCCCCATCCATACAGGAAGCGACTTTAAGCCCAAGCACGCTGGGAAGACCTGGATGAAGCACTCTCTTCTCTGTATCTACCAAAGGGAATTTCCACCCCAGCCTTATCTCGCTGCTTCTTCCACTTCTGGGCCAGGGAGTGCCTGCTGAGGGAAGGACGGAGGGTGGGGCTGGGTGAGGGTCAAGACAGGGCACTTCCCCCATCACAAAGGAGGGAAGTCTTTTGATCAGAGTGTCTCTCCATGCAAGAACTACACACATTCTGGACCTTGTCAATTCACTGGTGGCTTTTAGCTTCGCCAGCACCAGAAAGGAATGAGAAAGGACATGGACACGGGTAACGGTGGAGCTGGAAGGACTCAGAGAGACTGGTGGTGGGGAGGCAGCGGGCTGAGCCCACCCAGAAGCCCAGAGACACCCTCTGCCTTGAATGGAGGCTTCAGAATGAATGGAAGATACACCAAATCCACGCCCTTAAGAGGATGGGGAAGTTGAGCCCCCTGCAGACATCTGGGATTCCCAGAAAAGGAATCAGGGACTTGAGGGGACAGGGCAGACCCTGCTCGTCCCCTCCAAGAAGAAGTTTTCTGCAGAAGCAGAGCTGGACAGAGCCTCAGGCATCATCCAGTGCTAGGGTCCCATTCTACAGGCTGGAAGACTGAGCCTGCTCCGGGATCTTCAGGCTTTCCATCTAGAGTGCTTTTTTTAGGGACACAAGCAGCCACCAGGCTCCTCAACATCCTGGCTTCGAACCCCAAGAGGTCTATTTCCCTCCCTATGTCGTCGGCAGGAAATCAAGTTAGCATGGTCTCCAATCCGCTTTGCACGCCTGGGCCTCAGCCGTTTCTCCATGCTCATACCTCCTGCTGCAGTGATTTCTGGAAGCTTCTCTGCTCTCCCGGGGGAGCTGGGTAACGGCTGTGTGTGGATTTCTAACCAAGAACTTGGCTCTTCCTGAGCTGTTCCCCCTTTGCTTCCCAGCACCGCCTTCTGTGCCTGTGAGGTTGACAGAGTGCTTTAAGCAGGCTTCCTGGAGGACCAGCCTTGGACAACTGCTTCTCCTGGCTTTTTAGCTCTTCTACTGTCAATGATTTCATCTTACTTGGATTAACAATCAGCACCCTAGGTACCAGCAGTCAGATCGGGAGACGTAGTGCATTCTGCAAGTCCTCTGCATTGGACACCTCTCCAAATTACTGAGGAGCAATGACGTCAGTTTCGAGACTAAGGTGTGCCTGATTCAGGCCATTGTTTTTCCACCACTTGCTCTTCATCTGAGAGCTGGACAATGCATAAGGATGACAGAAGAAGAATCGATGCCTTTGAGTTGTGTATTTAATAAATGAAAGTAATGAATAGCCCACAGACTTCGAAAAGCACAAACAGATCTGTCTTGGAGAAGGTGCGGCCAGAGTGCTCCTTGGAGGCAAAGATGATAAAGCTCTGTCTCACACACCTTGGACATGTTTCTAGAAGAGTCTATTCTTTGGAGAGGCACAACCCGCTAGGAAAGGGGGTGGGTCAGTGAGAAGAAAGGAAGCTCCTCAATGAGAGGGTGTGACACAGTGACTGTGGCAATGAGCTCAATCAGAGACGGTGACAGCACAGGGTAGCACAGGCTCAGATCTGCTGCTCACAGGGTGACTGTGGGTTGTACTCGATTCACGGGCACCTAGTAACAACCATAACAATTACTTAAGCAGCCCCTGTCAAGACACAGCTGGCTGGCTATGTTCAAGAGCCATCTAGAAAACAAACACAGGTGATGCAGCCCTGAAGGCTCCTGCTCCGTGAACAAAGGCTTCTTTCTGCGTCAGCTCAGGTGAGGGGATGAGTGAGCAGTGGACACGGGGCAAAGCCCCCTCTAGTGCCAGGGGCAACAAGGTGCCAACCTGTGGAGCAGACCTTCTCACCTCGACCTGGGTTACTGACAGCGTACTGGGGCTGGGCTCCTGACTACCGCAAGAAAGCCAATCTCCCAATAAAGCAAGCCTCAGGATGTTTGCTTTCCCAAGTCCAGAATATCACTGCTGCCTAGTTGACCCGGATTCCCAACACCACCATAGGGCAGGGGGGACCTGCCGCTCGGGGTTTCCAACACTGTGAATCATTATGAGGGCAGGCCGACACAGCTTTCTCCCCAGGGGCAGCGGGTGGGCTCAAGCATCTGACCTTCACAGCACGATGCTGAGCCCACGTGCCACCGGGACTCCTGGTTTGGCCTCTTAGCGCTTATCAAAGCTCTGCTGTCGTGATCCTATAGTCGACAAGGTGTATGAGGCATGAGGAGAAAGTCTGAAATAGCGTGAGAATGATCAAATGGGACAGAGTCCTGCAGGCAGACCTGCTGGGAGGTGAAGGGCTGCCTGGGAAGGAAAGGCTGTACCTGTGAAGCACAACAATGCACACCTGTGAAGGGGGAGTTCTGCTGATGGGGGTCACAGGGACCCCGTTATCATCCATATTGAAATACCTGCTGTGTGAGCACCGGCCCTTGTTCAATGTTGTTCTGAGACCCACTTAAATGCCTCCATTCGGCCCTAAAACATATATGGTCCATCTACCGGGACACCCAGAGAGGGTGAGAGATACTCCATCCCTTCACTCCCAATGAGAGAGACTGTACGGACTCAGGCTGGGAGTGGTCAGAGCCACAGATGCCGGTTCTACATCCTGGGAGGGACAGAGGGCACTTGGCACCTGCAGTTCTTTCTGCCCCTTTGGGGAAATGTGCCCATGAGCACCCCTGGGGAGTGTGGTGGACTGAGGTCTCTCTCAGTCAAGACTGTCCCTGGCCTCCTGGAAGTAGAAGGGAGGTGGGGTAGGGAGGGGAGAAGGGCACTCTGGCCAAGCCTAGGGGTCCATGAGCTCCCCCTCTTCAGGGACCAGCCCTCTCCTCCCTTGTGACAGCCTGAGATGGACAAGTGGCCCCCTAGCCCAGGGCCATGATGGTGGGAGCTGTTGTACTATGGGTTCAGACAACGGGGCCCCTGGCCAACAGCATCAGGATCCCCTGGGAACTGGCTTTTTGTTAGGTTGTGTGGAGTGTGTCTATCCACGTGGCTTTCCTAGAGTAGATGACCGTGTCGAGGGGCGGGACTGTGCGAGTGAGGCGTGTTGGCCTAGCCACGAAGGGGAATGGCCGGTGTCGGCAGTCTACAAGAGGACTGGCTAGCGTCGTCAATATATAAAAATTGAACAGCTCTTGCTGCAGAGATAAGGAATTCCTCCCCCACCAGAAGAGATTCTTCGCCTAACCAGAGAAGAGAAACGACCTCCACAGCTGAACTGGAGAAGTAAGTGGACGTGAGATGGGACTGTGGGGTGGGGGAAGCCGATGTTGGCAGAACCGAGAACTTGGAAACACCTAAGAGCCATGAGGCTCGAGGCTGAGGTGCCTGAAAGCACATTTTGGGAGCTGTCTTGACTGTATTTTGTTCCTAACCTGAAGTATAGGCTTTTGAGTCCCCCAATATGAATCTATGTGGTCTGCGAGCTATCACATTGGATCCTGGACTCAGCCAAGCAGTAAGACTGGTGTTAAGATGAGAAGTGGGCACGGGAACGCGGGGGATGTGACTGACCTCATGGAAGTTGCTTTTGTGTTATCGATGCTGTGGGTGGTGAGCTCCCCCCCGGGAGGTTAGGAAAGGTCCGCTGTGGCGCTCCCGACAGGGCCCTTTGCTCTTTTTACAGGTCGGCTCCAACCCACATGACAGAACGAAGCCCTGGGCAATCCTGCACCATCCTCACAATCTCTGCTGTGCCCAGGCCCACGGTTACGGTCGCTGTCAGAGGCCACCTCATTCAGAGTCTTGCTCTTTTTCACGGACGCAACTCCACCAAGCAGGAGGTCTTTTTCTATGGACTAGTCCTCCCTGGTATCACATCCACAGACAAGGAGCGTCTCAGCCAACAGCAGCCTCGGGAACACCGGCTGCAGAGGAGCAGGGCACTGTCCGAGAGCAGGGCTCGCTCCGGCGCCGGGCCCAGTGCCTCTGCGCAGTCAGGGGGCTGTTCTGTGTGCCCGCCGCTCACACCCTCCAGGCCTTATGCTTTCTGACTTTCTTCAGTGGCTATGGCTCTTGGCTGCTAATAAAAAAATAGGCGGTGGTGTGAATCCATCAGCCATGGGAGTGTTTGCTCACATACAGATCTGCTCATATGCAGAGCTGATGTTATTATTGGTAAGAGTCATAAAATTGAGTATGACTCATAACAAACCTATCAACACAAATCTGAGCCCTCACTGTCCTGTTCTATCCTGTCCTGCCTTATCCTATCCTATCCTATCCTATCCTATCCTATCCTATCCTATCCTATCCTGCCTTATCCTATCCTATCCTATCCTATCCTATCCTATCCTATCC